TAAAAAAATTATATATATAATAATCAACAAAATTGAGAAATTTGCACCTACTGTGGGCGAGGCAGTTAAAGATGTCAATTGTAACAGGCGGATCAGTTGCTCCGGGCGTAGTTCGGAAATTTCAACGGCTATCATCTTTGCATAGAATTCTGTATCTAAAATCAATTTAAAAAATGAAGTTCTCGTTAAGCTCGGCTTAGCTAGCTGGAGTTGCAATCCGCGTTTAAGTTATGTATTTCATATTAGCGCTACACATCGCATAAAGGCAGCTTGCTTCAGACATACGTAGCTCGAAGCTCAGGCAATGTAATCGTAGCTCTGGCTATTTATAGCTTAGCTCTATCGTGGCTCTCTTTCTCACTCGCTCTGTCTCGCTCGCTGTTTGCTAACAATTACGCAAGATCAGCCGTGCAGTGCTGTGATGTAGCACAGGTGCTCAGTGCTGCTCCAGGGCTGGTTCAACTACCCATCGATCGGATGGGGCTGAGGGTTGTGGGGGTTACAGGCTTTGTGGTGCCCCTTCGCCTTTGACTCTGGGACGTGTCGTGCCTCGAATTTGACGGGCTCAATCGTAACTTACACGCAGAGCAAAGCTACCTGTCGCCAACTTTCCACACACGACTTGACGATCCACTTAAAAAAAAAACACCGCACTCACTCACTGCTCGGCTTTAGCGGGCGGGCGCGCTTTAATAAGCAAAACAAAACAAACAATAATAAAAAATAGAAAACAATAAAAATGAGAAAAAATGTCACTTTAAGTTTTTATAATTAGGTTACGCGCGGGTGGCGAAAAGCTGCAGCGACTTGGAGGGGCACGAGTGGGATTCAGCGAAAGCACATATACAACACCACTAGAATGTACGGTATATATATATATATTATTTTTGGATATATGCTGCTGCTGATATGGGATGCTGGAAGAGGCGCGTGTTAAGGCTGAGGCAGAGGCGTGCGCAGGAAGGGATCAGCTAAAGCCGTGACGCAGTCGAAGCGTAGCCAAGAAGTCAAGTTTCACGAGGCAGCATATCGGATATAGCATATAGCATATAGAACCGGATGACTCGTATTCGAGATGTGACTCAGAGCGTTTTTAAACGCGCCCGAAACGCGCCCATTACTTGGCTGCAATTGCAATTGAACAAGTTGAGATGTCAATTGGATTCGTGGATGAAACATGTTCGAATTCGAGACAATCGAATTTATGCAGCGTTTGTATGCATTTCTGTATCATTTGGATTTGAATTGGTATTGAATTGTTGTCGACTTATAGACAAGTAAGTCTAGCGGCTAGCTGTGGGCCTAGATAGCCGCTACGAGAAGTGCGACGAGCTGTTTATTTTTTTTTTTTTTTGTTTTTTGTTTTTTGTTTTTGTTTTTATCTTATCGACGACACGTTCAATATTTACGCCATATACTACAATGCTTACTACAAGCAACAACTATAAAAATAAAAAGCAAAATAAATAATAAATAAATAATAATAACAATAGCAAAAGCGCCAAAAATGCTTTGAGCGAAAAATAGTATATTGTTATTAATTTTTGTATTTATTTTTGGTTAAGAAGTAAAGTCACGGCCCTCGAGTGTTGTTGT